GAATTTTAAGGGGCCCTTGGCCTAGGCTTAGTATTACCTAATGGTAAATCCCCCCCTGACCACGACAGTAGTTAATTATTTATTATTTTGAGAGCCATTTGTAGTAAAGAAAAACTCTGATCTTACCTTAAAATATCTGAAGGGTGATGTCATAATTAAAGATCATTCCTAAATGAGACACCTACATGTTTATCTTCCCTCTACCAGTAGGTGACGTCCTATTGATCGCCCACTGTTTTTCCATGCTGTTTGCCCAGACCTTTAATGCTAAAGCTATTTTTTTAAGCCAGGTGTACACTTTTCGGACCGATTTTCCAGTCGTGCGAGAATTTTTCGATCGGGCTGACTTTTCGCCTGATTGTGGGTGGTGTAGTATACAGGGGGTAACGAGAGGCGATCAGCCTCTAACGACCACCTCCCCATCAGGAATGGTAAGGTTGAATGTTTGAAGTTCAGTCGGCCGTCGTGAGGTGGTGGTGGACAAATCGCTCAATGCACAAACAAGGATTCTTCTTCTTCTTCCTCTGATGAAAACCCAGAAGCATGGCGGGGATGCAATGAGTAAAATGGAGTTCTTTCTGTAAAATTGACAGATCGTAGTAGCCTCGTTTGCTCAGCCATGTCTTTGTCCAAATATTACATCACGTTTTCTTTTTAGGGCTTTCAGCACAAAATTGCACAAATTGCCATGGCAGCACATTTCACTCTAGTGAGCTTCATATTCCTCTTCTACTCATTTGGCTTCCAGATAGACAAGTTTTTTTTTCTTTTTTTGTTCTGCTTGGATCTGAGCAATACAACACTAAGAAGAAGCAATTTCTCAGCTCTATCATGGAGCTAAAATAATGTGGCAAAATGTATCCTCCCTCTAAACCTATTATTCCCATCAGTGCAGAATCTTTTATGGACCAATCTTAACATATTAAACATTTCGTTTTCTTTTAAATCATTCATGAAAAGGCATCACTTTAATAATAAAATAAAACGGTAAAAAAAAAAAAAAATCCAAGGACTACTCAGTTATATTTTTGTGTATTTTTTTTATCTCATCATAAGAAATTAATTAATTTGGTGTATTTCTTCATTAAAGTGGAATAATTCTAGTCCCATCTGGTCTCCGTTGGTTCTTTTAAAATCAGCCATGTTGGAAAAATATTGCAAAACATTTGCCAATAAATCTCCCCAAATAAAACCATTGAAGCATTATCATTGTGTGTATAATAACATATATCTCTGCATGACAGCACATATAGAAAATATTTACATTTCGATTTTCTATAAAACCAGATGCTTTAGGGAAATATAAAATATTAGCTGTAGAGTTTTTGACATTTTTCTTCAATTGTATATCTTTGCATTAAAACTTGGCCAAAGAGGTCAGGGCTCTTCTACATTGCGTGACAAGGCTATCCTACCCCGCTGTGAAGACCATTAAGGGCTCTACAGTAACCGCATTTACAGTCTGTTCTAAGCCCCTGTGCGACTCAGACCAGTACTCCTCTCCATCCCATGCAGAGAGGCGGCCCTGGCAGCAAAACAATGCCGCTAAATCATGCAGTTGGAAAAATTAAAAGCTACTTTTATTCTAGAAGTTCTATGTCCCTCAAACCATGTATTTAAAGTGGAATATGTTTTGCACATATTAGCTTTTACTTGCATATTGTTGTGCCAAATCCAAAGTGACTGTAACTTTTACATAGCAAGGTGGTTTTATAAATCATATATGTGTATGTGTGTATTCTTTAGAGTTTATGTACTCAGTGCTTAAGATCTTAAAGAGGACTGACAGGTCTACATGAAATATAAAACATGTTTCAAGCTGTGAGAGCTTTGTTCCTCATAAGCACTATGCCATGAAAACAGCAAGTTTGGATTTTCATCTCAATCATTTTGGATGTCAGACATTGTTTTTCCAAACATGCTTCATAGAATAATTTTATGAAACAGACTGAAAAAGAAATTATGGACACCCTTGAAAAGACCGAAAATGATTTGACCAAAGGGGCATGTCAAAGGTGTGGTGGAGGGTTTTCTTTTTCTGGGTGGATCATTAAAATAAGTG